AGGAAATACCGGGTGACTGGCAGTCGGCGATGATGCCACATGCGGCTCATTTTCTGTCAACTTTACGCCTCAGTATCTCGGTAAGTTTTTAAGGCAAAAAAAATTTTTTAGCCTATAATTTTTAGGGGAAAAAAAAAAAAACTATCTTTTCATAAGAGAAAATATATTTTTTTTTTTTTTTTTTTTTTTTTTTTTTGAAAATTTCTTGACCCTGAGAACGAGTCCAGGAGAGGGCCTGTCGACCCTGAAAGGGTTAATACTTTTGGGTGTGTGGAACAGATTAATTGGATTTCCATTGTTTCTTATAGGGAAAATTAATTCGGTTAAAGGCTAAATCGGTCAAAGGCTAGCTCTCTGGAATGGATTAAAGGCATTAACAGAGGGTCCATTGTACATCAGTGATCTTCCAAATGTATCTCAACAACTTAGACTTGTTCTGTTTGCAGGCAACACAACTTTCGTCATCTCCCACCCAAATCTGAACTCTCCCAATAACAAAGAGGAGCTCATAAATGTATCTACTTGGATGACTACCAACAAACTCATTGTTAACATTGACAAGACCTTCATGATGTTTGGGAACAGAGCTACAAATGTCCAGCTAAATATTATCATCAATGGTTCTCAGTTGGAAGACAAAACAAAGTAGTTTATACATGCCAGTTACCCTATTTGTATACTGTACAGTATGCCACTTCATAGAAATAATATTGTTTGCTTATGTGATGGGGTTATGGTCATTATTATTGCATTTGGGGTGGCCATGACTTGTGGAGGTTTTGAGAAATTAAGCACTATCCTCTGCATTTACTGTGCGTGGTGATAAGTATACAGTATGTACTTCTTGTTTCTGCTTGCCAGGAAGTTGAGCCTGCCTGTGGAGTTGTAGACCTCAGGAGGGCAGCATGCTTCATTGGTGGAGGATTGAGGTCAAATGAGAGGTTCAATGCTGGTCATGCTGAATCAGTCAGCTGATGAAAATTTGACACATGTGCAACATCTGGATATCTTTATTGCAGACATTTTGCCACCCAGTAACTTTATCAATACAAATTCTAGGACATAATTTGAAGACAGTAGAACTCTATACAAAAGATGAGGTAATCAGTCCCTCAGCCTTGGAGTTGGTGTGAAGAGCACAGTAGTCATGAAGATTCTGGAGCACAGGGAATAAGCTGGGGCTTATATACTGGCGTCAGGTCGATAGGAACGGGTAGCAAATGAGGGCATAGCCACTGGTAGGCGGGATATCCCAGTGGAAGTAGATCATACCCAAGGGATTGGTTAGTGGTAGTAGTAGTTGTAGTAGCCGTGAAGGTTATGTAGCTGTCCTCTGAACCAAGATTCCATGATGTTGCAGTGCCTGACAAGTTATACATGAATGGTATACAAAACTGACAAGATGAAAATTAGACTCGTGCAACATCTGGGTATCCTTATTGTAGACATTTTGCCATCCACTGGCTTTATCAATACAAATTCTAGGACATATAGTTCTACTGTCTTCACATTATGTCCTAGAATTTGTATTGATAAAGCCACTGGATGGCGAAACGTCTACAATAAAGATACCCAGATGTTGCACACGTGCCTAATTTTCATCTTGTCGGTACTGTATACCATTCATGTACAACTTGTCAAACATTGCAACATCACGGAATCTTGGTTCAGAGGACATCTACATAACCTTCTTCATGGCTACTACAACTACTACTACCACTAACCCAATCCTTGGGTATGACCTACTTCCACTGGGGAATCCCGCCTACCAGTGACTATGCCCTTGTCTGCTACCCATGCCTATCGACCTGATGCCAGTATGTAAGCGCCAGCCTTCTTGCCCGTGCTCCAAAATCTTCATGACTACTGTGCTCTTCACACCAACTCCAAGGCTGAGGGACTGATTACTTCATCTTTTGTATTTAGTTCTATTGTCTTCAAATTATGTCCTAGAATTTGTATTGATAAAGCCACTGGATGGCAAAATGTCTACAATAAAGATACCCAGATGTTGCACATGTGTCTAATTTTAATCTTGTTGGTATTGTATACCATTCATGTACAACTTGTCAGACACAGCAACATCATGGAATCTTGGTTCATAAGACATCTACAGCGCTAGTTATGGCATTATGCCGGGCGAGCGTCCCAGCATGATGCCATGACAAAAATCAAAGGCCTACCATACAGGGGGGTCTTTGTTCGTCAGTGCATTATGCCGAGTAGCAGCCGTTAGCATGATGTCACAGCCTGCTGCCACACTCCACTGTGACTCCTCAGTGCTCACTTGGCTGCCATGGTGAGAGGAAGTGTTGCACTTTTGTCTCTCATTCGCCCCATCTTTTTGTCCGGTGTTCCCTTTGGTTTTGGGGCAATACATGTTTGATTATGGGTAAAAGGAAGTCTTTAACACCTGAAACTATAGCTCAAATCATAGGGCTTCATAAAGCTGGGCACCAGACAAAAGAAATAGTGGAGAATATTGGTGTGTGTGAGCATTCAGTGAGGAACTGGGTGCAGAGTTTCAAGACTGGTGATGGTGTCAAGTTACCGTCTGCCAAACCTCGGTGTAGCCTCTTGAAGAAGATATCTGTTCATACCTTAACTGTGTTAAGAAGCAGTTAGAGAGTACACCTAAGATAACTGCTCAAGAATTGAAAAAAAAGAATCCACATCTTCTCTTGGAGGTGTCTGTAAGAACCGTTAACAGACGTGTGTCAGAACTGGGCTACAGTAGTCACTGCCAGGTTAAGAAACTGATCCTCTTCACACCACAGAAGAAACGTAGGCTGGATTATGCAAAGAAATATCTTCACTGGAATCCTCAACAGTGATCTGAAGTACTTTGGAGTGATGAAGCAACCTTCTCTGTCACTTGTAACTGTGGGGGACGTGTACCGGCCCAGAAGTAGTAACCCGCTAGACCCATGCTGCACCTGTGGGATCACCAAACACCCAGACTTACTCATGGTTTGGGGGTGTTTCAGTGCTCAGAGTGTTGGTGAAGTCATTGTGCTTCCCAAAAACCAGTATATGAACCAGTATAATTACCTGAAGTTATTGTGTGACAATTTACCTGAGGCTTTTGACAAGTGTGGGGCTACGGTTTTTATGCAGGATGGTGCACTGTGTCATACCACCAAATCCGTAGTTCAGTGGCTTAGGACTGTGAAGTGAGGTTCTTTAATGACTGGCCAGGCAATTCTCCAGACCTAAACCCTATTGAGAACCTCTGGTCAATAGTGAAATGAAGTTTACTGGGCAAGGATATCAGTTCCATCCTGCAGCTGGAGGCTGCTCTACATGAGGCAGGAATAATATACCTCCCCAAACCCTCAAGAATTTGTGAGAGAATCTTCCTACATGGCTGAGGGACATGATTAAGCATAAAGGACACAGCACCAAGTACAATTAAAACCCCAATAAGTGTGCAAATATATATATTATAATCTTTCATGGTATATGTTTGTGTTTTGATACGTGTGGGGGGGAGGGGCGGCATAATGCTGTGACTAGCGCTGTACATAACCACCTTCATGATTACTACAACTACTATTACCACTAACCCATCCCTTGGGTATGACCTACTTTCACTGGGGAATCCCGCCTACCAGTGACTATACCCTCGTCTGCTACCCGTCCCTGTCCACCTGACACCAGTATATAAGCTCCAGCCCTCTTGCCTGTGCTCCAGAATCTTCACGACTACAGTGCTCTTCACACCAACTCCAAGGCTGAGGGACTGATTACTTCATCTTTTGTATATAGTTCTACTGTCTTCAAATTATGTCCTAGAATTTGTATTGATAAAGCCACTGGATAGCGAAACATCTACAATAAAGATACCCAGATGTTGCACGTGTCTAATTTTCATCTTGTTGGTATTGTATACCATTCATGTACAATTTGTTCTCTACTGTTTGGTGGGGCACTGTGTTTGGGTCCTGTATTCCTGTCTGCTGTTTAGTGGGGGCAATGTGTTTTGGATATATTTCTTGATTTGCTCAACTTATGTAGCACTGAACTTTGACTGGGAAATGGTAAATGATGTCTATAATAGCAACCTCTTCTGTTATTCTTATTTTCCATTCCTACAACTGTCCTCATTGCTGCTCCTGGTAGCAGCTTGAACAAGTGACTTAACATTTACAATATAATACAATACAATTTTTATTTCTTTGCAAATTTACATTGAGATTCTGTAGTTACAATAATGAGTTGCAGTGCAAAGGGGACCCATTATCATGCCACAGCATTCTGCTTTCTACAAGTTTTAATTCTCTCCTGCCACAGATCCTTTCTCCATTGATGAGTTATTTTGTTTATTTGTTAAATACTCTATCTTAGAGTTAATATTCCATGAACCTCAGGTAAGCATTCTCATAAATGGATGCCTTGGTGGTCACCAGATTGTGGTAAGGTCATTAAACTCAGATGTTCCATATGGAGCTGGTATTGATATAATCTTGCTGCTGCCCACTATTTAGATTTCAAGGAATCAAGAGCATATGTCCAGCATGTCATATAAACATCTGTGTGTGCTTATTGATGTATTATGTTACAACTGTATAGACCACTACTTCTTTTAAGCCCAACAGGCCATGGTTTTGGGGTTTGTTTATTGTATATAACACTAGTGTCAAATTGTTTCTTTGCTCATTAGCAGTTCAGTTTTTTAACTATTGCTTCATGTGAATATTTTGCCAGTAATTGGAGATATGAGCTCAGTAATTTCAGTTTTATGATCTAGTTGTACAGTAAGCAAAGTAGAAGTGACTATCTAAAGAATCTTCACATATTTAGAAAAAAAAATCATTAGCTAGGGGTCTTGTTAAACAAACCTAGTTTATTCTAGCAACTCATTTAGATATTTGACTGACAGGAATATAGCGTTGTCTGCAGAATATCCTCTGTGGGGCTTCTATTAGGATTATACTTTCATTGTATTGAATTTAAGACATCTCTCAAGCTTCTTTACAAATAATGCAAGCTGTTTTCAGAAAATGAGATTGGTGCTCCTGGTAACAATACTACTCATAATATGAGCAAGCTCAGTACAAGCAGTAACAGTAGTTGGTCTTCCAAGACCCCATTAGACTTGTCTACTTTTGAGGATATACAAGAGGAAGAAGAAGTTCAAGAAGATATTGCTACAGTTCTGGGAGAGCAACCTGTTCCAAGGGTGGATATCCATAACAGGATTGTTATTAGTAGAGGTAGGCATATTATTTAATGTGATTCATCACTTCGAATATTTACTGTTCTTTGGATCTAATCATGTCATTAATACAATATCTAAAATGTTATCCTGCCATTTTTATGGTAATTCTTTTTAGAAATGTGTAACAAATTAATTAAATGACTTGAGCATTTTAGTTTTGTCGCAATGTCTCTTCTTAGTAAAGCTTGCATATCATTCTACAAACCTGTTCCACTGTGCACATTCTAGTTTTAATTTTTTTTTTTTTTTTTTTTTTTTAGAATTAGTCATTTTAACTCTAGAATGCCACTGCAATAAAAACTTCAATTTCCTCCACTCCTTAATAAGTTTGTAATTGCTAAATTAATAAAATCATAGTGTATTTATAAATGGGGCTTATTAACTGAATTTGACCATATCAACAAATACCATAAAGTATAATCTACAGTGTATTATGCTCTAGTAATCTGGCTGCTTACTGTAACCATCCTAAACTATAGGTAGTATAATATAGCTTAATCCTTCCAAGCTTATCTAAGGTCAGCCTAAATTTAGTTAAAATTATTTAACATATATTAAATTTTAAAATCAAGAATTACTGTTGAACATGTAATCTGGGCTGCTGTCACATTCATTCTCTCTGTCTGTCTCTCTCTCTCTCTCTCTGTCTGTCTGTCTGTCTGTCTGTGTCTGTCTGTGTCTGTCTGTGTCTGTCTGTCTGTCTCTGTCTGTCTCTGTCTGCTCTGTCTCTCGTCTCTGTCTTCTCTGTCCTCTCTCTGTCTCTTCTCTCTCTGTCTCTCTCTCTGTCTCTCTCTGTCTCTCTCTCTCTCTCTCTTCTCTTCCTCTCTCTCTCTCTCTCTCTCTCTCTCTCTCTCTCTCTCTCTTCTCTCCTCTCTCTCTCTCTCCTCTCCTCTCTCTCTCTCTCTCTCCCCTCTCTCCTCTCTCCCTCTCCTCTCTCCCCCTCCACCTCTCTCCCCTCTCACTCTCTCCTCCCTCCTCTCCTCTCCCCCTCCTCTCTCTCTCCATCTCCCCTCTCCCTCCCTGTCTCCTCCCCCCTTCTCTCCCCCTTTCTCTCCCCTCTCTCTTCCTCCCCCTCTCCTCTCCCCTCTGCTCTCACTCTCTCCTCTCCCCTCTCCTCTCCCCTCTCCCCTCCCCTTCCCTCTCCTCTCCCCTCTCCTCTCCCCTAGATACCTCAAAGGCAATGGGGCTGGATAACATCTCTCCATGGGTCCAGAGAGAGGGAGCAGAGGCACTGTGTGTACCCCTAACAACAATATTCAACACATCTATCGAAACAGTGAGATTACCTGAGGTATGGAAGACAGCAAATGTAGTCTCAATTTTTAAAAAAGGAGACAGACATGAAGCACTGAACTACAGACCAATGTCATTGACATGTATAGTATGCAAAGTCATGGAGAAGATTATCAGGAGAAGAGTGGTGGAACATCTAGAAAGGAATGATCTCATCAACAGCAGCCAACTTGGTGTCAGGGATGGGAGATCCTGTGTCACAAACCTACTGGAGTTCTATGACAGGGTGACAGCAGTAAGACAAGAGAGAGAGAGAGAGAGGGGTGGGTAGATTACATTTTCTTGGACTGTAAGAAGGAGTTTGACACAGTTCCACACAAGAGATTAGTGCAAAAACTGGAGGACCAGGCAAGAATAACAGGGAAGGCACTACAGTGGATCAGGGAATACTTGTCAGGAAGACAGCAGCGAGTCATGGTACATGGCAAGGTGTCAGAGTGGGCACCTGTCACAAGTGGGGTCCCACAGGGGTCAGTCCTAGGACCAGTGCTGTTTCTTATATTTGTGAATGAAATGACAGAAGGAATAGACTTCGAAGTGTCCCCTGTTTGCAGTTGATGTGAAGTTGATGAGAAGTATTCATTTGGACGAAGACCACGCAGAACTACAAAGGGATCTGGACAGGCTGCAGACCTGGTCCAGCAATTGGCTCCTGGAGTTCAACCCCACCAAGTGCAAAGTCATGAAGATTGGGGAAGGGCAAATAAGACTGTAGATGGAATACAGTCTAGGGGGCCAGAGACTACAAATTTCAATCAAGGAAAAAGATCTTGGGGCGAGTATAACACCAGGCACATCTCCTGAGGCGCACATCAACCAAATAACTGCTTTAGCATATGGGTGCCTAGCAAACCTAAGAACAGCATTCCAACATCTTAATAAGGAATTGTTCAGAACTTTGTACACTGTGTACGTTAGGCCCATATTGGAGTATGCGGCACAAGTTTGGAACCCACACCTATCCAAGAACGTAAAGAAACTAGAGAAAGTGCAAAGGACTGCAACAAGGCTAGTCCCAGAGCTAAGGGGTATGTCCTACGAGGTGAGTTTAAGGGAAATCGATCTATCGACATTGGAGGATAGGAGAGATAGGAGGGACATGATTACGACATATAAAATACCGAGAGGAATTGACAAGGTGGACAAAGACAGGATGTTCCAGAGGTGGGACACAGCAACAAGGGGACACAGTTGGAAGTTGAAGACACAGATGAATCACAGGGATGTTAGGAAATATTTCTTCAGTCATCACAGAGTAGTCAGGAAGTGGAATAGTTTGGGAAGTGATGTAGTGGAGGTAGGATCCATACATAGCTTTAAGCAGAGGTATGATAAAGCTCATGGTTCTGGGAGAGTGGCCCAGTAGTGACCAGTGAAGAGGCAGGACCAGGAGCTATGACTCGACCCCTGCAACCACAACTAGGTGAGTACACACACACACACACACACGTACATACGTACGTACGTATACATTCATACAGTAGGGCCCCACTTATATGGCAGGTTAGGTTCCAGGCTATTGCCGGAAAGCAGACATCGCCGGAAAGCAGGTTACATTTTTTCCACTCATAAATGCATATAAATGCCAGACAACAAGTTTACACTAAATTATATTAAGTTAGTAATAGAACTAGGCATTAAAAACACAAAAAGTAAAATACATACACAGTACATTCATTACTTATCTTAAAGTATTTGTAATCTTAATGTAGGGAATGAGGTGAGTAGTACTTATTTGTAGGAAGTCAGGTGTTGGTAGCCCTGGCTCCCCGTCTCATACTTAATATACGATATTTAAAACAGCCTAGACAGTTAAAATACACATACAGTACACTCATTATTTACCTTAAAATATGTGTAGTCTTAATGTAAGAAGAGAGGTGAGTAGTATTTATTTGTAGGAAGTCAGTGTAGGTAGCCGGTAGGTATTGTCCACCTGGGCTACACCTACTGGCTACCTACACTGTGGCCCAGAGCCATATTATTATCATCGACATACCTTGTTGACTGAATTTAATCGTTTCTAACGACTACCTTTAGATGCCATAAATGAAGTGAGAAGTAATGAATAATTCGTGCCGAAAATTGTAAACAAAAGTGGAGCGGGGGAGTGGCTGGGCCAAACGCAGATTCATGCACGTTTTCTCTTGTGCGTGACCAGAGAAAACGTAATGTTATCACTTCGCCCGGCTACCACACAGGTCCACAAGTATTATTATCAGAGCACATACAAATTATGCAATAAATGCCAGACAACAAGTTTACACTAACTTATATTAAGTTAGCAATAGAAATAGGCATTAAAAACACAAGAAAAAGTAAGATACACACAGAGTACATTTACTATTACTTACCTTAAAATATTAATATTAACCCCTTCAGGGTCCAAGGCCCAAATCTGAAGTGGTGCCCCAGTGTCCAAGAATTTTCAAAAAAAAAATTTGTTATTTTTTCTTATGAAATGGTAGAGAATCTTTTTGTGAAGGTAATAAAACAAAAAGTACGAAATTTGATGGAAAATTGACGAAATTATGCTCTCGCGAATTTTGATTTGTCAGCGATATTTACGAATCGGCGATTTTGCCGAATTTGACTCCCATTTTAGGCCAATTACATTATTCTAGTCAACCAAATTCTTAGCTATTTCACTAGTATTACTTTCTATTCTATCGATTCAGCACAAGAAATCGCCAAGTCAACTGTTTCAACTACAAATTTAAGTGATCGGAAATTGTTAATTTGGCCAATTTAACACAAAGTTCAAAATATTCCAATTTCAAAATAGGGTCCAGAATAAACAATGTAGGTATTCCTGGAACTAAACTAACATTTCCTCTGTTCATTAGTTATGTTTTGAGGCTTTACAAATAAATTCCATTTTGATTTTTTATTCACATAATGAATTTTTATTCACACCAAAAAATAGAAGATTTACTGTTATGCAATACTGTAATAATTGTATAAATATCATCACAATATTTGTGAATGCATATTAGACCCACCAGCTGGCATGTATTAGACGTGTGAGGTCGTTTGTTTACTCTTGAATATCGGCAAAAATTTAACATTTCTGCTACTTTGAGCTCAGTTTCAAGCCATTTCCAGTGCTAAAACCAATCAAAATCATCTCTATTTCTGTAATATGTCTTCCATTCTATCAAATGAGACCAAGAAATCGCAAATAGATCTATAAAAAACATACAAAAAAAACACTGCAAAGTCGCTGTTTTAATTGAAAAATCATGATTTCAGTTTTTTTCTCTCATTATACACAGTGTGCTGCAGGATCTGTTTTATGTGGTGCACACATACCACATAGATGTATTCTCTCATATCTAGGCCCAAATGTACCAGTCACAGTTTATCAGAGTGAGCTGAGCTCATGACGTAGATCTACGGTTTGGACCCTGAACGTAAAGCCGTAGATCTACGGGACGGACCCTCAAAGGGTTAATGTGAGAGGTGAGTGGCAGGGTGTTTATTGAATAAAATCAGAATGGCACACCATCATCCTCTAACTTGGCACTTAACCCTTAAATGGTCCAAACAGATCAACGTTCAAATTCGTAGTGCTACAAAAGTAAATCTACTTTTTTTTACATATTTTCAAATATAACAAAAAAAAATGTAGATGAAAGTTTTTTTTACATGTTTTCAAATGTAAAACAAAAAAGAAGATCTACATTTTTTTACATACTTTCAGATGTTGAAAAAACGTATATATCCGTTTGGACCATTTAAGGGTTAAAGCAAGAGACTTATGACTCCTCTTTTTATCACAGCTAAGCTTAGACGCCATCGTCAATGAGAGCTAACTAGTTAACAAAAGAGTAAACAAGAGAGAGAAGAAGATACAAAGTTCAAACAATGTAACAACACAAACTGAACAGGTAGTGGGCGATCACTGTCAGGCAAAATAAATGCATATTAATTTGTCTACTTTTAGTTCATTCACATACATTTGTAAGAGTTTGTAAAACTTTTACATCACAATATTTTTTTTTATTATAATAATAATTACCTTGCAATACAAATACTCTTACATTGTGTACAAGTTGTACAAGTTAGCAGAATAAACAAACAGCAACACTCCCATTCTCGTGCAACACCATGTTTAGATGAATGAAGATGATGATATTATCATCATAAAAATGCGCTAAACCCACAAGGGTCATGAATTGCTATATATAGAGTGAAGGCATACGAAAGGAATATTTTTCTACAGTTATCCCCCCAGTGTTTGACTAGAGAAAACGTAATTCTTCTGACACTACCTACACAGCCGCTTTGTAAACAAATCTCATATTTACGTTAATTTTTATTCTATGAGTGTATGTATCATGTTTATATGCTATGTAACGTGTTTCTTATATAATTTTGAGGAAAATATCATAAATGGATTAATGAAAATGTCTATATTAATGTAAAATAAGACATTTAATGTGCCCAAGAGTGATGATTATTACGTATTATTGGTGTCATGAGTAGAGAGACTCTTAGCGATTTTAATGTGTACCTGCACACCAGCACAGTGTGTAAGTATATTTAGGTACAGGTACACATAAGTATAATTATCAGAGTACAGTGGACCCCCGCATAGCGAACTTAATCCGTGCAAGAGGGCTGGTCGTTATGCGAAATGTTGCTATGCGAATTAATTTTCCCATAAGAAATGAATGGGAAATTATTAATCCGTGCAAGACACCAAAAGTATGAAAAAAAATTATTATTATTACCACAAAAGAAAGTAATTTAGTACAGCCCAAACTGAAATAAGGATGCACAATTACATCACCACTTACTTTTATGAAGTATCGGTGATGATTGATGGATGGGAGGAGGGAGAGAGAGTGTTAGTGTTTAGAAGGGAATCCCCTTCCATTAAACATTGAGGAGGCAATCCTTTCCGGGTTACTTCCCTTTTCTTTTAATGCCACTAGGACCAGCTTCAAGTCACTGGACTTCTTTCTGTCATAAGCTCTGTACTCCTTCCTTTACATTTGTCTAAAATGGGCCATAACATTGTATTGAAATACACCAGCACGCCTTGAACAGCGTGTCAGGGTGATTTTCATCCATAAAGTTTGCAGTTCAACCCATGTGCAAAACATTTCCTTAATTTTTGAAATAGGCACAATGGATTCCACAACTCATAGGCTTCTCAGGGTTAGCCCCAAAAACCCTTCAAAATCTTTCTTAATTTCCAACTAATTCTCACCCTTTTTAACCCCAGGGTTGGCACTTGAAAATTTCTTGGGGCCCATGGTCACTTATTTTCAACAAACAGAACCGAAAACACTGTAATAATACGAAATATTCCGAGTGTATGCTTGAATGTTACCGCGGAGGCTAGCTGGTAAACAATGGGACAGGCGGCACATGTGAGGCTGGCCGAGGCCGCACATTGGACGCGTCTCGGACGAAGTTCGCTGAGCGGGTTTTTGTCTACTATGCGGGGCAAAATTTCAGCGAACAAAGCGTTCGCTATGCGGATTGTTCGCTATGCGATGCGTTCGCTATGCGGGGGTCCACTGTACATATAAAATATGCAATAACTGTAAAACACTTGAAATTTTGGAAAGTTTTCAGACGTAATAGATGTGGTCATGGAGAATGTAAACAAACTGGGTGGGGTGTGCCGTATTTGAAAGATCGCTTGCTGTATAGCAAATTTTGGTCATAATTTGATATCACCATATTAGCGGAATGCTGTAAGGTGAAACGCTGTAAAGTGGGGCCCCTGCTGTACATACATTTATTCACATTCATTTTCACTCACTCACTCTAGTCAAGTATTGTACAGTTAGGATCAGTTGCTGGAACATGCTTAGTACTAGGTTCAGCTTTTAACAGATATGTAAAGGGACATATCTGTTAAAAGCTGAACCTAATACTAAGCATGTTCCAGCAATTTCAAGCCTTATTACTGTATGTAACAGACCCTTGTCCATGACTGTTTTTGCCTCTTAATAAATTTCCTGTGAAAAAAATTACATCATGTTTATGATATAAGGAGAGAAGCATCAGTATACATTAGAGTCTACTCCTGGTTTTTTGTTTATCTCGCATTACTGTGAGTGTCCCCTGCTTCCTTCACTATAATGATTTATTGCCACCTTCTCTTCTAGTGTGCCGTTTGTCTGGATTGGTGCAACAATTCTGTGGTGTGTCTCACTGTCTTGTTCATGCACTACTGTCTGGTCGGCTAGTCATGCTAGCAGCAGCAGATAATTATCGTCCTTTGGTCACACTTTATGTTCGAGCTCTCTCCACCCTTCTCCCTCGCTCACTTAACAACCAACTTTCAGTGCTCAGGTGAGATCATTTGACTGTTTGCACATTAGTACACTGTTTCCAGAAGTTAAATTTTATCCTTTTGTATTTCAGACAAATTTGTCTCATGTACTATATTCATTGTATTATTGTCTTGCAATCTTAGTTTTGATAGTTTATCAGCGATGTTGTTTATAATCATAAGATATACAGAGTGTAATTGAATGACGGTGTAGCAGAATGGCCCATTACAGTAGGGCCCCTCTTATATGGCAGGTTAGGTTCCAGGCTACCGCCGTAAAGTGGAACACCCTTTTTTCCACATTTAGCTAGGCTAGGCATGCATCAGAGAGTGGGTGCCATTGTGGACCTGTGGCTGCCACTTAATCCTCTGTTATCCCAAGGGTTTTGTTTTAGCAGATGTGTAAGCTTTTTCCTTGTTGGAATCATTGGTGGGTGGGTGAATGAAGCTGAAAGTAATAGTTGTTTTATGAGTATTAATGATTCCTGCCTTGGTGGGAATCGGCCGATGTGTTAAAAAAAAAAAAAAAAGATTCCTTTGTATAGTTCTTGACTATGGCCCTGGCTTCTAACTTGTGGAGGCAATTTGTAAATCATCTTTGATAACAGACTGTATTCAAGTTTCAGACCCCCATATCTTATATTTATTGGCCTATTCCTTATAATCATAAGAAGTCTCTAGAGTTGTCAATAAAATTGGGCTGTTCTGTATACTGTATTCACATTACAGGTGGCATACAGGTACCATTACGGATCATCATTTGAAGCAGTTTCGTCTGATGGGCATATGTATTCCAGAGCGCCTTCATGTCCAAGATCTCATGACAAATTCTACTCTTGTAAGTTACTTACACAAAAGATTTTATGTACAGTATGTTGCATATGGAAGCATGGCCCAGGGCTGGGCTGAAAGTAAAGGAAAAGTCCCAAAACCCATCAAAGGTATATGGTGACTAGAATACAGTATAACAGTCAGCCTCCCAAATTTATTTGTAGAATTCGATTATCTAAAGTTTGTAATGGTAGGCAGCTTTGGAATAGATGTAATTATCCACAGGCTTCTTCATGTTACCCATTTTTTTCAGGTTTGATGCAACATCCTGACCCCTCTGAAGAAGGGTGGGATGTTGCAGTTTGGAGGGAAATTAGAATTGGCAAAACAGCTATTGAGTGAATGAAGATGAATGTGTTTTTCTTTTTGGGTTACTGTGTCTCAGTGGAACTTGAGTTACAGTATTAGGTTAACAGTAAATAGTTAATTAAAAAAGATAAAACTCAGTTATACATAGCATTTTGGGCAGTGAAAAACTTATGACATTTCTAACAGTATTCAGTAATTGCAGGTACCAGTGTAATTAAAAGTACAAACAAAATTACTATTATTGGTTGATATTTAATGAATCTAAAGGAAATGCCACTATACATGTAATTATAAGCCACTATACTGTACATGTAATTAAAAACAATATGCTTTCTCCTTGTCAGCTTGTAGTCAGAATTAAATAACACAAGTGATGCAATATTAAAAGTGCTTGACAGCTTATTTAGAACTTCAGGGAAATGAGTATTCCATTGGCCTTTTTACTGCTCTGTAGAAGAATTTTGATTCTGTTGACCACAATACTTTTCTACTTTAACCCTTTGAGGGTCGACAGGCCCTCTCCGAAACTCGTTCTCAGGGTCGGCCAAATTTAAAAAAAAAAAAAATTATTTTCCCTTATGAAAAGATAGAGAATCTTTTCCCGATCATAAAGACACCAAAAGTTTGAAATTTGATAGAAAACTTACGGAATTATGCTCTCGCAAAGTTAGCGGTCTCGGCGATGTTTACGCATTGGCGATTTTGCCCACTTTGAGCCCCATTTTCGGCCAATTTCACTGTACTAGTCGACAAAAAACATGAATATTTCGCTAGAACTCCATTTTTTCTATCGAATGGGTGCAAGAAACCACCCATTTATGAAATTCAACTATCCAGTACAGTGGTCAGAATTTAGCAATTTTGCCAATTTCACACAAATTTCAAAAGATGCCAATTTCCGAATAGGGTCCAGAATAAACAAGAAAGACATTCCTGGCACTAAAATGACATTTCCTCTAGTCATTAGTCACGTCTCAAGGCCCCTCTTATATTCTTTTGCTTTCCACTTTGAATTTTTATTTTCACAAAAAATATAAGATTTACTGTTATGCAGACTACTGCATTAGTGTAAAAAATGGTATATATATTATTGGTGCACTTGTGAAAGAATATTAGACTCACCAGTTGACGTGTATTGCACGCTTGGCACGATTTGTTTACTTTTGAAGTTTGGTAAAAATCGAACATTTCTGCTACTTTGAGCTCAATTTCAAGGCACCTTTCATTGTAAAACCAGTCAAAATCATCTCAATTTCTGGAATATGTCTTCCATTCTATAAAATGAGACCAAGAAAACTAGAATACAACAATAAATACCATACGAAAATACACTGCAAAGTTGCTGATTTATTCAAAAAAAATGGTCAAAGTTTTTTTTTTCTCATTATGCACTGTGTACTGAAAGATTTTTTTTAGACTTTGCACACTGACCACATAGACCCATTCTTTCATATGAAGGCCTACCAGCTTTCTCCCACTAGATTTGAGGCCGCTAGAATTTATGAGTACTAGTACGTCAAAAAACCCTACGCGTAAGACGTACTAGTACGACCAAAACCCTCAAAGGGTTAATTACTAGACTCGTAGGACACATATTTTTTGTTAAGCTTTCCCCCTGTACCAGGCAGCAACATGTAGCCAAGAATGACACTTCATCTAGTACCTCACTGCTGAATTTAAGTGTCCTCTGAAGTAGCATTCTGGGTCCTCTTTTCATCTTTGTCAGTGACCTTCTTAATGCCACCCAACATCTGGGACCTATACTCTTTGCTGATGACAACTTTTATAATATCAGGTGTTCAGACCCCTGGTCACAAAGCACCATAGGTAACAAGACACCATAAAAGGTTCACACTTGGATGATTACTAAAAACTCGCCCTTAATATTAACCCTTTGAGGGTCGACAGGCCCTCTCCGAAACTCGTTCTCAGGGTCGGCCAAATTTAAAAAAAAAAAAAATTATTTTCTCTTATGAAAAGATAGAGAATCTTTTCCCGATCATAAGGACACCAAAAGTTTGAAATTTGATGGAAAACTTAGGGAATTATGCTCTCACAAAGTTAGCGGTCTCTGCGATGTTTATGCATCGGCGATTTTGCCCACTTTGAGCCCCATTTTCGGCCAATTCCATTGTACTAGTCGACAAAAACATGAATATTTCGCTAGAACTCCATTTTTTCTATCGAATGGGTGCAAGAAACCACCCATTTATGAAATTCAACTATCCAGTACAGTGGTCAGAATTTAGCAATTTTGCCAATTTCACACAAATTTCAAAAGATGCCAATTTCCGAATAGGGTCCAGAATAAACAAGAAAGACATTCCTGGCACTAAAATGACATTTCCTCTGGTCATTAGTCACGTCTCAAGGCCCCTCTTATATTATTTTGCTTTCCACTTTGAATTTTTATTCTCACAAAAAATATAAGATTTACTGTTATGCAGACTACTGCATTAGTGTAAAAAATGGTATAAATATTATTGGTGCACTTGAGAAAGAATATTAGACTCACCAGTTGACGTGTATTGCACGCTTGGCACGATTTGTTTACTTTTGAAATTTGGTAAAAATCGAACATTTCTGCTACTTTGAGCTCAATTTCAAGGTACCTTTCATTGTAAAACCAGTCAAAATCATCTCAATTTCTGTAATATGTCTTCCATTCTATAAAGTGAGACCAAGAAAATTAGAATACAACAATAAATACCATACGAAAATACAGTGCAAAGTCGCTGTTTTATTCCAAAAAAATGATATAAGTTTTTTTTTTCTCATTATGCACTGTGTGCTGCAGGATTTTTTTTAGACTGTGCACACTGACCACATAGACCCATTCTTTCATATGAAGGCCTACCAGCTTTCTCCCACTAGATTTGAGGGCGCTAGAATTTAGGCGTACTAGTACGTCAAAAACCCTGGGTCGTAAGCCGTACTAGTACGTCCGAAACCCTCAAAGGGTTAAAAAGAATGTTTTACTGTTTACAACTTTTTGGGGCATGGATTATTACTATTACATTCATGGGGAGCACTAAACCTATAGGAGTTGGGATATGGAAGGCATTTAGACTCAATTTAAGGAATTGAAGCACAGGTCCAGTTCCTTAAATCAAGACCCCATAAAGAACAAAAAGGCACAATACCACGACTGGAACAATACACAAATAACCTGCACACAAGAGAACATAAGTTAGGATGACATTTCAGTCCAACTTGGACTATTAACCCTTTCACTGTCAAAACTGCTCACGAACTTGCTCTCAGTGTTAAAAAATTAAAAAAAAAAAAAATTCCTATGAAATGATAGAGAATTTTTTCCTGATGGTAACCACACCAAAAGTATTAAATTTGATGGAAAACTTACAGAATCACACTCTCACGAAGTTAGCGATCTCGGCGATATTTACGCATCAGCGATTTTGCCCACTTTGAGCCCTATTTTCGACCAATTCCATTGTTCCAGTCGACCAAACTCGTAGATATTTCGCTAGAACACCATTTGTTCTATCAATTGAGTACAAGATTTCAACTACCCAATAAAGTGATCAGAAATTGGTAATTTGGCCAGTTTCATACACAATTCAAGTAAGGCCAGTTTCAAAATAGGGGCCAGAATAAACAATGCAGACATTCCTAGCACTAAAATAACATTGTATCTGTTCATTAGTCACATCTACAGGCTCCTCTTATATTCAATTCAATTCAAGTTTATTCTCTATAAGGGTTACAATGTGGGGTTTACAGGTTTTGGGTATTGTGTGGTTTACATGTTATAAAATACTAATTACAGAGGGGGCCACTAGGACACCTAGCATGGCTAGGCATTTCGAGCAGACTTAGATTAAATCTTAACATTAAATCCTTACAAATTATGGTATTAAGGCTAAGTGACTACATCATAATTTGTGAGTTTAGCAATGTGAATGCTTTTGTTTTGGCACAATACAAGGTGTCTATATTGGAGTATCATAGGCAAACTTATGACTAGTTAGGATTTATTATTTTAAGATTAGTATTTCTGGGTTTATAGTCAGTGGGTGAGTGAGTGTAATTGTGGTTATCATGTAGTTAGTTGTCGGGGTGGATCAGGGAGATAAGATGTTTTCTAACTGTAGTTTTGAAAGTGATGAATGTGTCTGCAGTTTTGGAGTTTTCAGGTAGGGTGTTCCAGATTTTAGGTCCTTTGAAATACATTGAATTTTTGTAAAGGTTTAGTCGAACACAGGGAATGTCATAGAGATGTTTGTGTCTGGTGTTATGCCTGTGGATCCTGTCACAACTATCAAGAAAGCATTTTAGGTCAAGGTTAATATTGGAATTTAAGGTCCTGCACAGTAGTAAGTGTGGATGTTCTGAACAGGGAGTAAGTTTAGATCTATGAAGAGTGGGGGGGTGTGTTGCCAGGGATGGGATTTAGTGATTATTCTTACTGCGGCTTTTTGTTGGGTTATTATTGGCTTAAGGTGTGTTGCTGCAGTTGAACCCCAAGCACAGATAGCATAGGTGAGGTATGGATATATAAGTGAATGGTATAGTGTGAGAAGGGCAGTTTGCGGTACGTAGTATCGTATCTTGGAGAGGATCCCCACCGTTTTGGATACTTTTTTTGTTATGTGTTGCATATGGGTTCTGAAATTTAGGTTGTTGCCAAGGTACAGCAGGGCCCCGCTTTACGGCGTTTCACTTTACGGTGTTCCG